ACACACACACACACACACACGTCACACACACACACACACGTCACCACCACCACCACCACCATCAACAACAAAAACAAAAACAACAGCAATAAACAATACGACCAACAACATTAACGTCAATAAAAGCAGCAACATTAATAATATTCTCACCTGCAGTGCACACAAACGGGCCCCCGGGGCAAGAGGTCAAATGTCTGATACCTTCGTAGCTCTACCTCCTTGATGAGGTCCAGCAACATGTGGGGAGAGTCTGGTGGCTTGTGGTCAGGCCACGCGGTATACCAGTAGTGTAGAACACTGTGGCTTTCTCCATTACACTGAGATAGATAGGAATAGGAGAATAATAATAATTTTTATTGTTTTTAAAATTGGTAAGTGTTTTACGGTCCTCACAACTGCATAATAAGGTCATATGAGCGTGCGGGACACATTATACATTTTCAGTTGGTAGGAAATTTTGAATTTGGCATGGGTGGCAACCAAAGCCTACTCTTATCGACTTCAGACCACCAAGGGATCTTTAACATGCGCAACTCGCACACGGGACCTCCGAGACTTTTCACTCTTGCCCGAGAAGGCTTGGTGTAAATCTTTCCTACCAGAAGACCAGGGGTGTTGCTGAAAAACAGCAGTAAGAAGGAGCCAAGGAGTAGCAGTAGAAAGGCTGCAGAAAGAGTCGGGAGCCCAAAGGAGGGGGCAAAGGAGGTGAGAGGGTGGTGGCAGAAAGTGGGGACGAAAGCAGACGACAGAAAATTGCTAGAGAGCAGAAAAGGAGGTGAAAGGAGACAATTTTAGACAAGAAAATTTGTCCGTCGCTACCCAGATTCAAAGTGGCGATGGATGGGACAAACCTTCGGAAAGCCCAAAGGAAACATCCCAAGACAGTTACTGCAGTGGAACCCACAGGTTGCACAAGGCAGGGGTAGGCCATGGGAAACATGGAGGAGTTGTGTGGAAAGTGCATGATAGAGATGAAATTCACTTGGAACGAGCTTGGAAGAATGGCCCAGGACAGAGATAAATGGAAGGAGCTTCTATGTGGCCTATAACGTGCCAGGGGTAAAAGGCATTGATGATGATGACCCAGATTCGAATCAGGGACCTTTGAATGAGAGGCAAACACCTTAACATTTAGGCCACGACAGCCCCCGCAGAAGAAGAAGAAGAAGAAGAAGAAGGAAAAGAAAAAGAAGAAGGAGGAGGAGGAGGAGGAGGAGGAGGGGAG